AATATATAAACCAATATATCGGATCGGTTTCGGTTTTCTTGTGTGAAAACCAAAACCAACCCGACCCGAACTGAACTAGTAGAAGATCTACTAGTTCAATAGTTCCTAGTTTGAGTAGTTTCCTACTTAATTATAACTAGTCTTCTACTAGAACTAGAAGGTCCATTAGACAATTACAATTAGAATAAGCAATTTATCCTAGTTTCTAACTTTCTATAATCTTTTACGTCARATAGACAACCCATTAGACAATTACAATTAGAATTCAATTAGGTGTCCTTTTGTATAGGAGCAAAACAGAAACCGACCCAACCCGACTCAAACCGACCAAATCGGTTTGGCCTATCAGTGGGTCGGTTTCGATTTCCAACTCAGTAACCCGACTAGGTCGGATCGATTGGAAAAATCTCAATAAACCGACCCGTGAACACCCCTAGGAGAAACTCCGCCTCTCAGCATCCTCACGCCAAAGGAGAAATTTCTTTCTCCGTAGTCAAACTTCCTTCTGAAATTCAGGTCAAACAATTGTTATAGATAGGTTTTCAAGTTGTCTTTCTTTTAAGGTGTGGAGTAGCATATAAGTTCCCTTCTCCAGCGTGGTCCCGGCTGAGATCGGTTCCCTCAAACGTCTCTTCCGATTCGAGCTCTCCGACAACAATCTACAWGGCCCCATCCCGATTTTGTCGTTGATAGGACAGTAACAGTGGTAATATTCGGTTATTATCAGTATACCCAACCAGCAATCGTCTGTTCTGTCTTTGCTCCTGGAGAAGGAGAATAGGAGGAGTCCGCGCCATGGATGAGAACAATTGCCGCTGAAGTGACTAAGTGCCCATTCGTTCACCAGGAAATTGCAGAAAATTATTTCATCATTTTCGGGTAGATTAAGCAAATTATTTGATAAATCTGTGAGCAAGAGCAGGAATGACAAGGTCATAGTCCATGACTTTCCAGGAGGAGCAGAGGGTTTTGAGCTCATGGTTAGGTTCTGCTACGATAATAGCAGAATAGAGGTAATTCTGTCTAACTTGAGATCGGCTTCAATCGGAGCAAAGTCTGTTCGAACAGTGACAGCCTTTATATTGGGGAGATATTCCCCGATGCAAGGTTATGATAGCTGTTTGAATGGACTTTACTCTGACTGAATCTTGTTACGTCTAACTTGGTCCTATTAAACAGTATTGCCCATTTCATGAAAATGGCTAAAGATGTCTGGAACCCAAAATTTAATCGAACAAACTGAGAAATTTCTTGAAGGGATCCCCAACTGGACCTGGTCTGGGACTCTTGTAGCTTCCTGTCTGAAACCTTCAAAGTTTGTTGCATTAGCCCTAGCTCTGCCAGAATCTGCAAGTTTCGAGAGATCGACTTCATCTTGCACTTCTGTAGGAGTCGAGGAGGGCCTTAACCTGGCCACGGAGCAAGGACTCGACTGATAATGTTTTGCCGGTTGCGCCGTCCCATGTTCATCGTCCACCAGCGACGAGTATAATCTCTCTGCCTCTGCCCTCTCCTATTCCACCATCCACCACCGGCACAATCGCTCCCTCTCTCGACCTGTTCTCTCTTCCTCCATTTTCCTGTTTCATTATAAAAATTTGAAAAAGTAATGGGTAAAATTGTTTTTTCGTATTAGTGTTAACAAGGAGGTAGACAATTGTCAAAAGAAGCCAAGGGTACTCTAAAACATGTAAGCAGTAGAGAGACTTGGTCAATTAGCTACACTATAAGGACAATTTAAGAAATTTGCTCTATTCTTAATATTGGGTTTCTTTCATCTGTTACATTGATAAAGATAAGAATAAAAGTGTCAACGGATACCCATTTATAATGAATTTATATTGAATTGGATATTGAAACAATACCCAGTCCATTGATAAAGATAAAAATACAGGTGCGAAGGAAAAAGAAAGGAATTTAACGGATTGGATTGGACCTGTTGCATCTGAAAAATTCTTTGACCGGATAGAATTGGACCAAATCGGGTCCAATTGACGCCACTACCGGGTCACTACTCAAATTTCTGGTCGGGTTCACTCCGATAGAGTGAACGCAAGCTCTTTTACAAGTGTTAAATGAATAAAATAGATCCATCCTATAGCGCTCTCCACTTTTTGCATCATTATTGMAAAGCCAATCACTGCAAAAATGTCGAATTTCTCTTCACCCAGAATCCTCAAGTTATCACAAGTCATAACTGAATTAAATGGGTTATAAAATCAAGAAAGGACCCAATTAAAATACACTGAGATTGTAATTATAACCAAAATATATCTACACAAATTAACAGGGAACTTCGCTACTATAACACAATTTACAAGAAAAAGAAGCGGATTAGTAATTTACAATGATTCAATATGTTCACTTGTTGGTCTGAAGGTCATAAAATCTTCGGACCCAGATTCATACTTCGACAACCCAACTCTTTTTTCTTAGAAAAATCTTCAGTAATTCTTTATACGGCTCGCAAATACCGCATCCCTGCATTCGGAAGCAAATAATTAAGGGAAAAGTACAGAGAGGTCAAATAATTAAGGGAAAAGTACATAAAAAAATCTTCAGTAATTCTCGCATTTTTCTTTGAAAAGACAAAGACTAAATGCCCTTATTACAAAACATAATTCATTCGAAGAAAATGTTTGATGAAAATGAAATCTCATTCGGGTAAATGTTTACAAGGTTGGCACATATAGTCCATATATGCCAAATGGCCATTAAAAATTTTGAATTCTTCAAAATAAAATTTTCAAAACCCCATTTCCCCTTTAAAAGACAAAAGGCTAAAATTCCCTTGGTACAAAACATGACTCATTCAAATCTCTCTCCCTCTTTTCCACTCTCTTCCACCCTTTTTTCCCAATCATTGTATTCTCTCCCTCTTGTGTTTCTACAACATGAGCTCATAAGCTATCTCAAACKAGGGGTGCAACTTAGGCGGGCCCAGCCAAAAATTTTACCTGGGTTAGGTATGGATTTTCGATCCTCAGGCTGGGTTCAGGCCCAAGAAGTCACTTTTTTATTTATTTTTCTGATCAGGCCCGGGCCTAGCCCTTAAGGTAGCTTGAATGCAGCCTAAGCCCAACTCAACTATACAATTTTGCATACATACATACATATTTTCATAAATACATATATATATATACATACACATATACATATACATACATATTTTTATAAATACATATATACATGTACAATTTTAAAGTGGGTTCATTGACGAACTCGACCCCAACCTGGATTAGAAAGATCGGGTTAGAGTGGGTTTATGTATAACCCATGCAAGCTAGGCATGGGTTGGAAAGATCGGGCTTGACCTCAAGTTCTAGGCCTATCAACGATACCCAAAAACCGGAGGCCCAATCCAACATCTGATCCAATGGTGTATATATGTACTCAGGTTGGACTCAGATGTTACATTTTACCTCACCTAATCCGAATAAAAACTAAATTCACTTGTAATATAATATTTATTAATTTTAATGTATTAAGTTTTATATAATTATATTTAAATAAAAAATGTGTTCTATATATTATATTATATATATATATAAGATAAATTTAGTGTGTTATATTTATATTAATAAATTATATATAATGGTTCAAAGATAAATAATTTTTTTACATTTTTTGAAATTTTATAAAATTTATAACAAAGTCAGATTAAATCCAAATCCAATCCAAGCCCATTAGGATTCAAATCCAAGCTTTTAAATCTGATCAGATTCAAATGTATGTTATCTGTAATCGGATCAGATGTAGATTCCGATTATAGCCCTATCAGGTTCAAGCCTTAGGCCCAAATTTTAGGGCCAGGCCCAGGTTGACAATAAACCTGGCCCAACCCACCAAAATTGCACCGCTATCTCAAACCCGGTATTCTTTCTTAATACGAATTTACCAAATTTAGCAAAATAGAAGAGATTTACTTGATTTTTATTATAGGATGACTTTCATGTTATATGTTGCATATTGATTACTTCATAACATTAGTATTGAAGTATTGAATGCCCAAATTGCCAACCAAATGGACATTTACAAAGATGAATCTAAGATATTAGCTAAGCCCATTGGTATTAGTAATTCTTTTTTTCATTTTAATTTCTATTTATAACATAATAGTTTGTTTTTATAATATTGATTGTTATGTCTATTCACATTAGCCTCAAATGAGACTATATTTGCCTACTTAATCAAACTTTACAAAGTTGCAACTATGGGACTAATTAGAAGTGAACGGACATGTGGTGCTCTCCCAAAACAATTGTATATGAATTCAATATTATCTTAGTAAAAATTTACTAATATGAATTCAAAATGTTGGCTAAATTCATTGCGAARGATATGATCATCATCACTTGGATAATACATTTAATTACAATTAATTGAAAGACAATGACATAAAATATTAATTATTGCGTGTTCACTTCTCCTTAATGACCATTTGGCAATAAAATGCCATATTAACCAACTTGTAAAAGTTTACCAAGATAGAATTAGCATATATTAATTTTAAATCTAAATACATGCAAAAACGATTATAAATATGAAATATTGTTTGATAATGAAAAAAAGACATATTAGGTCTGGAAGTGTTGTATTTTTATTATCGCAATCAAGTCAAAGTCAGTGACATAATAGCATTGGTTATCGTGTGCACCATCTCAACTTAGTAAATCTATCACAAATATATAGTATTGTTTTATCCCAATTAATTTAAGGACAGCGATAACATTTACCAGGATGATATTGATATTGCATTTTCTTTGAACGAGTCATATTTTGTAACAAGGGTATTTGAATGTCTTTTCAAAAGAAAATGAGAGTGACATTGAGGCAATGTTAGCCTGACATGGTGTGGGAATTTGTCCCAACTTTTCACAAAGTGAAATTATATGTGTTTTTAGATTCTGCTATATGTGGACTGGAATTCAGAATTCTGATTTGGGTCTGTACATAATTTTCCAGATAATTAATGCATGTCCATCCACATTACACATAAATGGTTTTTCTTAGACTGCAAAACCATTAAGATTAACCTGTTAACAGCATTTCCCAGATACACCACTACTTAGAGAACAAATTATAAGCAGATAATCATCACCTCAAGATTCTTTGACAAATCCTGTAACTGCTCTTTTAAGCATACAAACATGGCACTCCCATTTCACTAAACACAACATAGAGATGAATCGATCAAGCATGATTGTTAACAGTTAACACTATTAAAGGCTAATGGAATTCAATAGAGAACCAGAAAAAGTACATATTCGTTAACGGAATGTCCTCCATTCTCTTGGATGTCCTCAGATTGACAGCAAACCTCTGGAATGCAGGGGTAAGAATCAAGCAAGACCACCCAAARAAACATCAAGAGTGAAAACCTAAATGCGTTTAATCGAACTATGAATTTTAAATTAAGTTTTAACATTCAGGAATGCAAGTAGAAGTCAAATATCGTTCCCCAACGTCCAAATGAAATACAATCGTCCCACTGGATAGCGAGAGGAACATCTTTCTGGCTTCACTTAAATAGTTCCACTAAAGGCTCAAAGTATCAAGTAGACTATCTTGAGTAGCTCAAGAAAGTGAAGCTATGATTCCAAAAATTAAATTGCATATCGGTAAAATTTCTACTTTTGGGAAGGGAAGAAAATAAAAGGAAGTGCCTCAGCCCCTTAGATGTTCAGAGGTTGCGGTCATGTCCGCATTTCAGTACAGGTCTATGGAGTCATCATGGACTATGTTCAGAAATTTAGACAATAAAAAAACAGCGAAAATAAGGGCACGTTCAAACAAGAAACAAATGTCGAACAACTCAGTCCCTTAGATGTTCTTAGAGTTGCGATCATATTCGCAAATCATTACAGGTCTGTATACTCGTCATTGTTGCTCGAAAAACACTAAAATCGGAAACGAAATATCCGTAGAAAAAATAAATAAGAGAAGAGAGGATGTAGTTGCTCCAGTGTTCCCCAAATCAACAATGGTGCAAAGGAGAAAAGCAAATTGCTTAATGAACAACAACTCCTTGTCGCTTCAAGGGAACGAGCCAAATGGGAATAGAGATCCCAATGACCAGATAATGAAGCAAGTTCTTATGAAAAAGGAAGAAACATAGTAAATTTTCCTATAAACAATATCTCAAATTTCATAGATTGCAGCGCCATTGATATGACACAGCAGGACAAGATATCACAAATTGAAAATTTGAGTTTCATATCGCTTCAAGGGAACGAATCGGGCGGGAACAGATTAATCGCGCCGACCAGATAAAGAAGCTTAAAATAGAGAATAAAAACCTTGGAAATTGAAAAAAAAAAGACGGCACCTGTTCGCTAGACTGTCGACGAGCAACTCATTAACGACGTAAGAGATATCTCTGTGCATGAAATTTCCCCCCGCCATGACCTCGATTTCTACTCTCCTGGTGAGAAGAAGAACCAATGAAAGATTAGAAGAAACAATGGTAAAAGTTGGATTGATCCTCGGAACAGAGATCGATGAGACAATAAGAGATTAGAAGAAGCCATACAAGGAAAACCCTCTAAGGAAGAACGCAAAAGTATATTGAAAAGAGTAAAGAAACCCTAATCCAGAGACGAGACGATAGCCGAAGACCGCCTAGCAAAATGGCCAGAAAGAAAACCCTAAAAGCCTCGACGTGCACAGAGGTAAGTCGATTGTCCGTGGCGTCACCTTTTATAAGCGAACAATAATCAGATCGAACGGTTACCTAACAGTTTTAGAAATTTAACGGGTTAGATGTTATTACCAGGTCTTGGATTCAGCCATTCAGACACAAACCCTAATACAAAGAAGTTTACGAGGGTTGGCTTGATCCGACGATGGTGATGCAGGCATCAGGATGACAGAGCAAATTTTTATCGTAGGTTTGGAATACGAGGGTTGGCTTGATCCGACGATGGTGATGCAGGCATCAGGATGACAGAGCAAATTTTTATCGTAGGTTTGGAAGCATAATATCGTTTGTTATAGTTGGCACTTGACAGGCAGTGCAGAATTCACATAGTATACAGACGGCAGACCTGTAAATACATTTGGAACAAACAACTCCCATGAATAGTAACATGTAAATGGGGAATAATGTTACAAAGGCTCCTTTTGTTTGCGATACTCCGATTTATTTAATGTACATATGTTTTTGGATATAATTTTGTATTCATTTGATAATTAACTTTTTGACTAAAGTTAAAGTATTGGAGTATAAGATAATTGGAGCATTTAATGATGGGCCCACATTTTTCATTGATTTGGAACAAACAAGATGAATGCAAAAATAGTTTAAAATGTGAATCTTATTTGCATTCATGAACCGAAAAATGGATAAATATGTAATATACATATTTGTGTTTGCATTGCAGACAAATGGTTATGGGTAGATGTGAGTAGATCTTTGTGAGTAGGAGATACAAATTCACAGAGTGCACTCTACATAGGCCCTAAATGCATGTGTATTGAAAATATCTTCTATGCTTGTCATTGGAAGATATTCTCAATTCATGGTTAAGATGTATTATGGGGCACACTCTATGGGATGTGCATGCAAATTTGATAGTACATGCCAGAAATTTTCATTAATCAACCCAAGATTCCTATAAGTTTTCAAACTAAACTTGTCCAAGTTGCAAGTTCACATCGATGCCCCACAGTGATGTTCCCAATACACGCTGAGATGTGCAAAGTGGGGTGCGTCCTATGGAGTGTTGATGTGATCTCCCAAGTTGCACCCTCAATGGGAAGGGATTCGAGATAGGGTGTACCAGTCTCAAATTGATTATTAATTGATTCTACCTGATAAAACTGAATTAATCGGGTTTAAACTAATTATACCAGACATTTATAATTACTTATAATTTTAAAAATTTCATTCTTGATAATATAACCTCTTAAGATAGTAATTTTTTATATGTTAATAAAACAAGTAATTTTTAATCAAATTATCTTGTATACTATTTATATAGTTTATCTTTTAGACATAAAATATAATAAAATTTATTAAAAAAACCAAGAGACCTTTATATGTTATTAATTACTTAATTGTATAATCAGTTTATAACAACAAGAACTAACAATAAAGACAAACAATAATCGATATAATCAATCCAATCAGCTCATATTTTCTTAGAAAACGGTGTTGCATAAGTATGTTGTTTTTTCATAAAACGTTTTATTAGGTTTTCTATTTGATACCATTATTGTTACTGCCACATAGGTGTTTTTCAATGCCACGTTTTATTACCATATTGTTGTTAGCAGCAATAGAAAAAACAACAAAACGCAAACATCTACCAAGTGGGACCATGTGACTAGGGTGGTAAATGGGTGGGTTGGGTAAGGGTTGAATACCAACCCACCATAACCCATTGTCAATTCTTGTTAAAGGGTCATAACCCACCCATATTAATCCTTAACCACCTCCACCCATACTGACCCACTTATCCTCACCTATAAATACAAAAATGGGTTGGGATGGCCTGTATACCCAACATAATAATTTTTAAGAGGAACATCTCTCTCTCTCAAGGTTGTCACGTGACAAAAACAGGTTGGGTCGACCTATATACCCCAAAATAACAAAATTTTGAGAGGAACATCTCTCAAGACTACCACGTGGTAGAAATGGGTTAGGGCAACCCGTATGCCCCAAAATAACAATTTTTGAGAGAATAATCTCTCTCAAGGATGTCACGTGAAAGAATCGAGCCGAGTCGACCCGTATACCTAGAAAAAAAGCATTTTTGAGAAAATCATCTATCTTAAGACTGTCGCGTGACATAAACAAGTTGGGTTAACCTGTATATCCGAGAAAAAAAAAAACATTTCAACCCGTATACCCAAAAATGCAAAAATTGTAGATAAATGTAGACAATAGCAAAAATAAATGTAGGAAATGCAAAAAATACCAAAAAATTGTAGAAATTTCATAAAAATACAAAAAAATAACAGAAAATTATGAAAAATATAGAAAAATACCAAAAATTACAAAAAATGTAGAACTTTTGTAGAAAAATCATAAAAATGCAAAGAAAATTGCAGGAAATGCATGAAAAACATAAAAAAGTGCAGAAATTATGCAAAAAAAGCACCAAAAATTGTAGAAAATATAGAAAATACCAAAAATTTTCAAAAATGTAGAAAAATACCAGAAAATTGCAAATAATGCAGAAAATAGTACATTTTTTTAGAAAATGTAGAAAATAGCAGAAAATGCAAACAAAATGCATAACTTTTATAAAAGTTCTTTCATAAAAGTACTTTTATAAAAGTGATTTTATGCTTTCATAAAAATACTTTTATAAAAGTGTTTTTGTGTAAAAGTACTCTTGTAAAAGTGCTTTCATAAAAGAACTTTTATAAATGTGCTTTTGTGCTTTCATAAAAGTACTTTCATGAAGTACTTTTGTAAAAGTGCTTTCGTAAAAGTACTTTTATAAAAGTGCCTTTGTTTAAAAGTACTTTTGTAAACTACTTTCATAAGAATGCTTTTCATAAAATTATTTTATAAAATTGCTTTTATTAAAGTGCTTTCATGTAAAATTGCATGTAAACATGAAAGTTAATACAATCTATTTTATTTCACTTTTCATTATAAAATGAAATGTGGCATGGTGGTTTGGATTTGTAATGAGATGTAGACTCGTTAGGAGTATTGAGTTCGAGTCACATTAACTATTGTTGTTTTTTTTAGATTGACGAGTATAGATAGAGCTTAACTTTGACTCAACCCATCATGACCCACGCGACCCAACCCACCTTGACCCTTTTCCACTAACCCTAATGAATTACTTGACTCATATTGACCCACCAATATAATGGCTGGGTATGGGTGGGTGGGCCAAATGGGTTGGGGTCAAGATTGCCAGTCCTAACCATACATAAAATAGGATGGGATCAAATTCACATAACTGAAGGCTCTCCTTCCTATGTTTAGTTGGCCTTTCATGCACCCTGCTCTGCCCCACCTATGATTCCCCTGTACTGTGTACATAATACACTATCAAACCCCATCCATGAATTTTGATAAATTCCACTTGATTGGTTAACAATTTATGATGAGACTGGCATCAACAAGTGCAAGGCCCATTCAAACTGTTCGAACAGTCTTTACAACCTTGCATTGAGAATATCTCCGTACCTATGTACTTTATTTCATTGGGAGATATTCACAATGCAAGGCCATAAAGGCTTTTGGAATGGGCCTTGCACTGATTGAAGCTGAATTGTTTAGGATATTTTTCAGATATCACATCATTCCAATCAACCAATTGATTGGTCACAAAACTCTTATGACATCATGCCTTTCCAGCAATATAAAAAGGGTAAAATTGCAAAAATATATTTCCTTAAACAATATGGTGAAATACAAGCATATACAACATTTTGTTTTTTTATTTGATGATGCACAATCTGGCCGGTCTTAGCTGTCGATGATCTTGCCTCTGAACYGAGTAACAGGGACCTGAAACGGAAGGAGAAGAGAAGCTTCGGGGAGAACCCGGCGTAAGGGCTCCGAAGCTCAAGTTAGAATCCTTCAAAGGCAAGAATAACCAGATAGCGCGAAAGTTAGCA